CCCCCCCCCGGGGGTGGGGGGGGGGGGGGTGAGGGAGAGGGCACCTCCCTGAAATGAAAGGGACACTTCCCTGAAATTGCTTCTTTCAGGTTGGGATCCCTGCGATGCACACTGACGTGCATTAGTGCACATTATGACTCGTTGACATGGGTTTCCATTGCTCTCAGTGGAAATGCATCAGACAAATGTGCATAGGTGTGATTGGGCCCTAAGTACAGGGGCCACAGGCCTATATAGCATTAGAAATCCCCAAAAAGGCTCTAATCCTACCCAGTTCACTTCAAAAGAAAACAAAATGGCTTGGCTGGACATTTTACGGGCTTGTTCACACTAGTCCACATGCTAAAATGCTGAGTTTTAGCGTGCAGATTTGTGTGCTTAGTGAGCCCCAGCATGGGCTGTGTGATGTGTTGTTTCAGCGCATTAACTGTTTACTTTTTAACTTTATTAGCTGTGTACAAAAATAATATTTAATTACAAAGCGTACACTACATTTAGGTGCCCGCAAAGCAGTGCGATCTACTGTTCTGCTGTGCAGTCCAATGGGCTGCCAAACAATGCAGCGCCTTTTCTTAACTGTATTCGGAATGTACAAAGTGTACACTCCATTCATGTCTCCGCACAGCAGCATGGTGTACTGTTCTGCGGTGCAGTCCAATGGGCTGCCAAATAATGCAACGCCTTTTCTTAACTCTATTCAGAATGTACAAAGTGTACACTTTATTCAGGTGCCTACAAAGCAGTGCGGTGTACTGTTCTGCGGTGCAGTCCAATGGGCATCCAAACAAGGCAGCGCATTTTCTTAACTGTATTCGGAATGTACAAATTGTAGACTTTATTCAGGTGCCTACAAAGCAGTGCGGTGTACTGTTCTGCGGTGCAGTCCAATGGGCTGCCAAACAATGCAGCGCCTTTTCTTAACTGTATTCGGAATGTACAAAGTATACACTTTATTCAGGTGCCCGCAAAGCAGCGCATTGTACTGTTCTGCGGTGCAGTCTAATGGGCTGCCAAACAATGCAGCGCCTTTTCTTAACTGTATTCGGAATGTACAAAGTGTACACTCCATTCATGTCTCCGCACAGCAGCTTTTTACACTTCACTGCGGTGCTGTGACATCCAGTAGCAGCCACTGCGCTGTGGAAAAATGCATTATATCCACATTTTATCACAGCTCAGCACACTGCACATTACATCTGTGTTGTGGTGTGAATGGGGCACATGAGAAACATACTATGTGCCCTAGCAGTGACTGGAATTCTGCAGTTGCTCAAACATGCCAGTCACTGCCATAGTGTGAACAAGCCCATAGCGTCAAGGGAACAATAAACGTTCTCTGTATATATGTGGGGTCCAGCAAGGAGGTGTTGCCCATGACAACCTTTAATTAAGAAACTTATTTGCTGTGAAGTACATGAGAACTGGAGATTGTGTACTTTCTATATTACAGCACAGTGAGCAGCCCGCACTTCTTCTAAATCACGAGCTGGAGGCCATGACTGAGGCCCGGTATTGGGCGGGAAGGGGGTGTGTAGAGGGGCGGCAGTGAGGAACGGGGAGGGGGAACGGAGAGAGACGTGGGACTGAGGGAAAGAGACTTGACTTGAATGAGAACGAGCTGGAGAGGCGCTCGGCAGCAGACATTCCAGCACCCGCAGAGGAGCGGACAACACAGCTGCAGACATGCCGGGCAATGGGATGGAGCCCCGGGCTCTGAAATACGAGCAGACCCTGGTGAGTGACCCAAGACAATGCCAGGATGACCTGTGCACTCCATACAGCCCACAAGTACAGGGTGTCAGGGTGCTGTCCCTCCCCTGGTGTGTTTTTATGTAAACCTCCCTTTTTTCTATGAAAAGACAGATCCTGTTCCCCATGCTGTTCAGTCACACAGGGGCCACCTTTACTGTGCTTGTCCCTATGAGAACCTGCAGACACTTTACTGTCACCTGAATGTCAGGGACTGAGGCTGCCCATTGCTGACACAGCTGAGCTCAGCTTTTTATTTAGTCACTTTCTGGTTTGAACACAAGTAGCCGGTATTTTTGAAGGGGAAACACCTGACTGTGAATATGTAAGGGGCAGATAATAGAAATAAAACCTAGAGATGGACAAACTTAAAGCCCATCCCTGGGTCAAACAAACAACTACCCTTGTGGTGGCACTACCTCTGCACTGCAAAGGTTAAAGTGACACTAATCTCAGGAGTTAAATCTTCAAAATGCATTCAAGTACCTTTTTAAATATTCACAAACATTTATCTTTTTGTGTATCACTCAGCTGTAGATCCTCAAATCATCTCTGAATTCATGCTGACACTGTCCTTCCTTCTGGAGGGTGACTACTTCTGTTCCCCATGGCCCCCGTGCGTGTTGTAAAGTAGTCACCACTGCAAGCTTGCTTCTGTGATAAACTACAGTCTCAATGTAGTAAACTAAACATGAGATTGTAGTCCATCACGGGAGTGATCTTGGAGCGATGTCTACTTTACAACATACACACACCACAGACACACACACACACACCATGGGGAAGAAAAGTAGTCACCCTCCAGAAGGAAGGTCAGGGTCAGCGCCAATTCAGAGATGATTTGAGGATCTACAGCTGAGTGATACACAAAATAAGATACATTTTTGTTCATAGGCTACGTTAATTTTAAGATTTAACTCCTAAGTTTAGTGTCCCTTTAACTTCTCATCTCTGTCTAGGGAACTGGAGTAAAGCAGATATCCCGCCAGGCTGCTAGTCATGTCCCCGCAGCCTCTTCTCCTGTGGGCCCCGGTGGTCTGAGGACCACTGACGTCATCACATCTCATGTAGGTTACATTGACCTGCATTAGACAGATGCTGAGGGACAGGTAACCAGCCGGAATGGAGGGGGAGAAGAGGAAAGCAATGACTGTCTGGGCAGCAGAGATCAGGTTGGTAAATCTGTTTTGGGCCACACCAGGGCGACAGTTTCATTGTTTTTTTTCCGCGTGTTTTGTGTAGTGCGTTTTTGCACATTTCAGGGCGTTTTCTGTTCGTATTTAAGAGCGTTTCAAGGCTAATTTTTCAGCTCGTTTTCAGTTGTCCAATGAAAAGCAGTCTCGGCTGCAAAGAAAGCGGCCTGTTTCTATTGAAGTCTATAGAGCAAAACGAGCTGATAAGCGCCACAAAAGAAGCTCATGGACTATTTTAAACAACGGCCGTATTGTTATGCGCAATTCAGCGCGCTTGTGTGAACAACCCCCTTTGGAATATATGGGGTTTTGATTTGCAAGCGTTTCAGCGCAGAAAAAAACTTGCAACGAAACGCCCTGGTATGAACGGGGCCTTACTCCAGCCCCTAGATGATAACAAGCACTTAAAGCAAATCAAGGGGCACAAAAAGCAAGTACCCTCCCACGGGGCTACCCCTCCATGGCAAGGGTATGGGTTCTTTTTGTTTGCCCGGAGATTTGCTTTAAGCTGCCCATTCACAGAGTCTGGTTTCTTATTTGCCCTGTTGGCACCCTACTGACCGACATCATTCGACTAGAAAATTGAAGTAGCTGGGCAGAAAATTGTTGGCTGAACAGTGACTCCAGCCAGTCAGCTGCACTCACTGTATATGTATTCTGACAGAGGGGGGTGCTGTATTTCAGAACACAATAGACGCAGCGGGAGATTTGCCCATTCACACTGTTTCATGTGGATAGAGGAATCTGATAGATTTTCTTTGTTCAGCCTGCAGACTGAACAAAAATGTCTACTAGTGTGTGGCCAGCTTTCGCAGAAATATTATATTTGACATGTGATCGGCAAAATAAGATGTCATGTGCGACAATTCACGTTCCTCAACAACCACCAATTTTGTTTTGTCTGGCCCATTTAGTTTTGGGGGTTCAATAATTTCCCCCGAGTTTCTGAATACACTTAACACCGGTCTGCATGCAAGGGAGTTGTTTGTAGCCTGACCCGAATAGTCCTATGCATGATAATTGGCATCAGACTGGGTCAGGAAGGATGTTTTAGACGCACATTCACTGATTCCTTAAAAACGTACATGGTTGTTGCAGTGTATCTCTAGCCATTATTCCATTTTTTGTTTGTTTTGGATAGACTTAAGCTAGCCATGCGCATACAGATTTTCCCTCATCAGCCTCAATTCCCGTATTTACTCTAAACAGTGTGGATGGAGGAATCTCCATTGCTGGCTATTGTATTTTGCCTGAATACCCAAACGGTGACTGCATCTGATCAGTCACTGTTTGGTCATAAGTTTTCAACCCAACTCGGTATATATTTTTTAAAATTTACTTTTAACAAGTCAGGTGGTGCTGACAGGGGTCACCCAAGGCTTGAATTCTGGCCAGCTATTGTCTGTCCTCTTTGGTAAGATTCACCATCTCTATTTGTCCTGGAGGCCATTATTACTGAGGCACCAAAATCTGATTGTCCATGAAAAGAATGGTGAAGGGAAATCTTCCAATAGGGATGCCGGTTTCAGTGACAACTGTCACCGCAAGTAAAAATAATTACTCTCCATTCCTGTTGTATCTTCACGACAGGAAGTGAAGGGAAAAAGCCTTATTGCCAACACGCAATAATAAACCTTACAGGGATTGTACCAATCCTAAAGCTGGCCGTACACCTTTCAACCATCGCATGACTTTCCTTATGCGATGGTTGTAAGGTCATTAAAATCTCGTATGATCTGCCCATCTTGGACAGGCAGATCGTACTTGCGATCATCGCAAGCCCGCCCCCCGAGGGGAGGGCTTCCAATGATTCCAATGCTGAGCGGGCAGTGTGAACTTGCGCACAACGGCCCGTTTGGCATTTGTCTTCCGAGCACGCCACTAACCCGCCGAAAATCATACGGTTATCGGCAGGTTTTCAAGCGTGCTCGGAAGACAAAAGACGTGCGAGCGTACAGTAGAAACGGTCGCACGCTTTCCATACACCTGCCGATTATCATACGATCGCGGGATCAACCATGATTATCATGCGATAATCGGCAGGTGTATGGGCACCTTAACTCTATCAAAAAAATAAAAATAATGCTTTGGTTAGAGTTACACTTTAGGGCCAATTTACACTGATGTGCTACTTTTAATGCACACGCATTATGTCCTCCCTTTATGTGCATTGGGATTAGGCAGCCCATTCATTTAAATGAACTGCCAATGCACCAGCACTGCCAAAAAAACCCACACCTACACTATTTTTCCGCCACACTCAGTGCATTACTTTGTGTTGCTTTAGTGTGTTGGGGTTCCATTTAAAATGAGTGACGCTACTAATGCACCTAAATGATGCTGTACAAAGTGTGAAGCCAGACAAAAAAAACACTCCGTCAGTCTCTAAAAATAATTTGTACCTGAGGTTGCAGCTTCTGTGTGACTCTTCGTTTTGGACACTTCCAGGAGTGTTGGATGCCTGTGTCTGCCAGTGTGCACTGTGGGCCTTCCTCTCTACCCTACATTAGTACATATCAGTCAACCGAAATGTCCCCTGCACACCATACGGCAACCAGGACCTTTTGATGCTTGAAAACAGCAGTGGTGCTCGCAGTGATGTCCACGGATGGTGCCGTGCAAATCCATAGATGATCACCAGCACTCACAAAATTGAAAAAAAAAAACACAGGTTCTTTTGATTGTAGAACAACGTCGCATGTATCATATAGCCGATGATATATGCCGGCTATATGATACATGTGACGTTGTTCTACAATAAAAAGAACCTGTGGATTTATTCCATTTTGCGAGTGCTGGTGATCTTCGTTGCTATAATCTCTACCTTCGTACATGACACAGCAGTGACCTAGGGGCCAGAGGATGGGACCACAGTGTGCAGCAGGGGCCATAGGCATTTCTCACTCCTGGAAGTCTTATGGAGGATGTAGATTGAAAACTGGGGACATGTGCCACTGGAGAGGTGAGTATAATGGGGTTTTTTTTTTTCTTGCAGAGAACCTGCCTTAGATCTGTGTTGACATGCATCATATCCTACAGTAATGTCTGAACTTTATAGAGATGTCCAAAGGGGCATAACAGATGCTGACACAGTACGCATGAAGCACAGCTGTGAAAACGGGTTATTTTATAGTCTGACTTTAAGTGTCTTTCCAGCTTTGCATTTAAATTGAGGAACCCCCAACATATGTTAATGTACCCATTTACACAGCATATCCAAAAATAATTGAAAAATATTTCTTATGCTTTAGTATAACATAGCAATAGAGAATTTAAGTAGGATTTTTCAGTTCTGGAGCTTTAAAGGAGAACTATGGGGTCAGTGTTTTTCCCCATAGTTCTCCTTAGGGTAACGGGAGGACACAAACTAGCGTCCTCCATTACCCTAAGCTCAGTATACTGTGAGCTACAGCTCGCGGTATACTGAGACGCCGCAGCCCGAGCGGATCCCAACGTAGATGACGGGATCCGCCCAGCTGCGTGAGTGACAGCTGGCTCTGCCTATCTAGAGGCAGAGCCAGCTGTACCCGCCCCCTCCCCCGTCCGATCCGCTAGTCAGCGCTGGAAGATCGGAGCGGGGAGAGGGGAATACAGCCCCTCCCCCCTGTCACGGCAGAGAGCCGTGACAGGATCGAGAGGCGAGCGAACCCGGTATGTGTTTGCTCACCTCCCGATCTACTGAGCCGACCTGTGACAGTCTCATTGTCACAGGTCGGCTAGAACTATGAGGTGAATGAAAAGCACTCACCTCATAGTTCTCCTTTAAGAAAAATCATTTAAAGGGTAAGCAGT